AAACAATATCAAATCTTTCTTAGAAACGTATTGTTATAAGCTATATTTTTATGTTGTAATTTAAATTTAGATACTGGGCGTATGACGTTAAGATCAAAAAGTTTAATAATGTAGGGCAAGAAAATTCTAAAAAAATTGACATCAGATTTTCTAGTAAATTTGAGGTTTAATGAAGCAAGAATAAGATAGAGTTGTTTTTAGTCAGTACAATAAATCGATCAGAAAGTGGTTTTGTTTCAAGTAGAGGTGAATTAGTAATTATTTGTTTTGCATTTACTGGATTGATTTAGCCATGAAGATGTTCAAGTAAGCTTATTTCTAGGTTAGTCGTTTTACCGTCAATGAGTTATATCTGTTTGAACTTCATTTATAGACTTAGGCTTACAAGTACAAGTCACAACAATGTACAAACTTGTAGAAACGTTAAGGAAGAACTAATTTAAAAGAATCAACTGGATGAGAGAATGATTTTATTAAGGGGCTTGTGACGAAGTACCTAACTTTTCTTCTTAAACTTAGGAGAGAATTTTGCTATATAATAATTTATACCTTAGCAAACTGAGGAAGAGAGAGCAAGGACTGATAAAGCATATTATTATATACAAGATTTTATAATGCTATCCCTCTCAGAGCGCGCACACTACCTACATCATTGTTGGTCATTTCATTAAAAAAGATAAAGGAAGATACTACTTCAAGGTATTGCCTGACCTACCATGTGGAAAAAAAGATCACTTCATATAGTGTGTTCCACTTTAAAGCAATGTTTTCCGAATAAAGTGCATATGACCATAGGGAATGACCCAGAACAAAAGTTAGTTAGCCACAATCCTTGATAATGTTCTACTTTAAAATCAATATACATATATAGGCACGAAAACATTTTTAAATGTTCTCATTTCTAAATAAAAAGGACAGGAAAACCTATTATGCTTGCACACTACAGAATACATATTCACAAAGAGTTGTTGTAAAATGAAGTTTTTGCTCTCCATTGGATCTTGAAATGATTTGATGTATATTAACGGCGACCCAGTAATTAAATCATGATAAATTGTAAAAACAAGTTTCTGTGGCTTGCATGTCAGTATCTCCAAATATCATATATTCCACACTTTGGAATTCTTGCTGCATTATAAGAATGATGATTAGGTACCACTATTTAGTCTGACAAGAGTAGCCCAAGAATTGTTGGTGTTGACAAGCTGTTTTCCCTTTATCACATCAAAATTATGTATGAATAGTACAGATAGCCCTTATGACACTTTGTGTGAAATCCAACAACAACAACAAAAAGAACTAGCTAACTAAATGTAATCATATTATGTTGTGGCTTCTAAATACTGTTTTCACTTTTTGCTTTTAATATATCTTCTATACGTTTTCAGAGACCTTTGACATAGGGAAGCATGAGTATGTCTGTAATTTAATTCCTGCTTAGTCTTGGTGGTTATCAAGTTTTTCCCACATCCATTTTTCAATCAAAATTGTAGTGATTATGTTCTAGACTGAATGAGCATCCTGTTATATACTTAACTCATTAACTTCCAACTTATCCAAAGTGACTAGTGTTAACTACGTGACATGGTCAATCTCAATAAAACATAGGAGAGGAGATTACCTCAAGAGATCATCTGACTTCTAGTAGAAATGGTAGCTGTCTAAAAATACTTACACCCAATGCAGCCTGTTAACAAATAAATTCAATAGGTACACTTAATGCCGAATGACTACAAGTGAAGCATTTTGCAATAACACAGCACTTTTAACACAATAATAAATACAATTTAACACAAATTATTCCATTTCATTAAATATCTTTATACAATAACACCTTCAACAAAGATGATGTCGCAGCTCAACATCAAGAAAACTTTGACTAGAATACGATCTACTAACACACTTTATTCCAATCAAAATAGAAGAATAACCCTTTAACAATGATACACTACATAGAGAAGAACTTTCAACAAAGAAAATTAATACATAATAAAAAAACTTTAACAAGGATACAGCTCAAATTTTATATTATGAGAACGTTCTTTACCAAAGATATTAGTTAAGTTAAAATCACAACAATGACCATTATTTGGAACTATAATTTGGATATAAAAGGCCCAGATCTCGACTCATTCAGTGGATTATTCCTAACAATGTCTTTTAAGCACTAAAATTTGTTCTACCATTCAGTTTGCCCCTGAAGAAGAAAGGCCCACCTTTCGAAAGTGCTCGGGTTATAGGGTTTTTATCGTGTCATTTATTTGTTGGTGATGGTCATAAGTCGAGTGGTAGGTAATCTTAACATCAGCTGAACCTAAGATAAACCATGGGGCTGCTTTGTTGATGGTGGTTTTGATGCTGTAGATGTTATTGAGGCACCTACAGTCATTGGCGAAAGCCTTGCTGCTAGTGTTGTTGTGGTCACTAGACACCGAGCCCTTCCCCACAGATTGTGAAAACAAATGTAGTACTCAGTCAAGTCTTGTGAAGACTGTAGCTCCAGAAAGGTATCTTTTTTGTTTTGAATATATAGTCACACCAGAGTTGAGTGCACATTTGGCACCTGTAATATTTGGTGTTTGTAAATTCTCCAATGCTATCTCAGTTGGAACTGAAATCTTTTGATGGTTCAGTCATCTCAACTTTTATCTGTGCTGATGTTCCCTGTGGAGTAGCAACG